GGGCACTAACCCACCCAAGGGGAGGGTATTTTTCATATCTCCACAGGGAAAGAGGGACCAGACTTCAAACCAGTGATCCAAGATGTGAACTTCAGGGAGCTGCTGAATATTCAGCAGTGGGACTGCCCCTGCTTGGGGTCATCATTGAGGAACTCATGGCCAAGCCTGTGGCCGCATTTACCACAGGACACCTTAAAGGCATCAGGCTTTTTATATAGTAAAACACTGGGTCTAGATATAAGCAATTTGCTCCAAATTGTCAGAGCTAGAACCAGAATCAAGGCCACTCACCAGTTTCTTTGTCTTTTGACCCTCTCATTTCTTGATGCTTGGTTTCCCCAATGTGTTAGGGTGTGTTGTCCAGAGAAACAAAACTAAGAACAGAAAAAAAAACACCTTTATATTAATTTTAAATCAAGAAGACGTCCTAGCCCAGTCCAATTCAAGTCCATGAATGCAATCTCGTCAGAGCCCCTTTTCAGACTCACCTAGCTGCGGGCTGATGAAACAGAAGCAGGAAGCAGTGAGATGACAAGCTGGTGGGTACAGAGGCAAGTGGATCCAAGGTTGGTGGAACCATGCAGGGCACCTACAACTCCCAGGATAGGCAACCCACATAAGGCACTGCTCCTGGAAGCAGACACAGACTCCAAGCAAAGGGGAAGGAAAAAGGCAAGAGACACATAAGAAGTGTCCTTCTTATGAAATCATACTCAGAACAATCCTATAGGTGTGGAGCTGTCCCTATTGCTTTCCCTGACTGTAACTCTTTAAAGCCCAGTCTCTCTCGAGTAGAGCTGTGGGATGTTTAGAACTCTGACCTTGTGGAGTGCAGCCCAGTGTATAACCACTACCCCATAATGATTCAACACCACACGATGGCATTGAGATTGGTTTGGGTTTCTTATGAAATGACCACACCTCTAAGGAATACATCGTAGGTTGCCATCGATTGATAGGTTAGACTCCGCCTCTGCTTCCACACAGGTACCATCAAATTGGCATAAAATCCAATCACCATACCCTGTTAAACCAGATGTCCAGGTGTGCATGTGGACCCAGGTGTACATGTGTATTTCTCTTTACCTCCTTATGCATCTAGTACATTCTTCTGAATATAACAAGAATTCAAAATATGTTTACTAATAGGCTGAGAGTTAAAAATGTATCTCCTCTAGTATCATTTTTCAGACTATTTTTTCCCTGTCCAGATGACTACCTTGGGAATACCTACATCTTGCCATTCTAGTGAAATTTTTCAATCCAATGATAATCAATTTATTTTGTCTACTCTTTTTTCCCGTTATCCGAAGGTCTATCTAATTGGATTCTTAGGACCATGTGAAGTGGGCAAGGATGAATAAGGATAAGTCAAGCTAGTAGACACGTGAATGGAGTTTTGAGCTCCTAAGGTTTGAAGAAGGAGAATATTTGGACCCATGGAGGGCAAAAAGATGTCTTTAAAAGTGAGTGCTCTTCTGACTGTGCCCTGGGAAGAATGTAACTCCTTGATGGTTTCTTTTGCAAAGGACAGAGTAACACACAGAATTTAAATTCTTTCCATCATATTTCATAAATCACTTTAGTTCCCCCATACTTTTGATTAAGTCTGATAAACACGGGAGCTTTGAAAATTTTGTAGAAAGATGGAGTTAAAAGATAATGAAATTTTTCCACATATATTTTGAAGTCCCTTTGTACTCCTCTGTAAAGGTGAGGAAAAGAGAAGAACCAGGAACAAGTTAACACTTTTCCACCTTGGCTTTCGCTTCAATAGACAGGTTCTCATGTACTGTCAACCAAGACACTGAAGGGCCTGTCACCTTTGAGTTCTAGTTAATCTTGAAGTAAGTGTACATGAGACAGAGCAGTGTGCCTGTTTCCCTTCCAAAAATACTAGAGGGAGTCAGCCCATATGGATGAGGAGAAAGAGGACTTTTATAAAAATGAGTCATGGAATGCCATCTGAATAATAAGTAAAGTTGAATCAAACTGAAAGTGTCAATTTTACTTATAAATTGGATTATCAATCTCCAAGTTGTCAAAGAATTGGTGGTGTGGTGTTATCAGTAGTCAATGAGAGATAGGCTTGAATTAACTATTCAAAGACCATGAAAATGGATATTGAATAGAGTGTGTTTGAGAAGACTGACATGTGAAGTGGTCCAAGTGTTTGATGGATCTTTCTTGTAAACATTGAAGATATTTTTCATAATGGCAGATTTGGGGGAAGAGGGAGGAATGGCTCTCAAATCTCAGTAAGTGAGAGGGAGTGACAAGGAGGTTGGCAGATTAACACCAAGAGATAGGAGAGAGAGAATTATGATAAAGTGGTATAAGCCAGGAAGCAGATGTCAAGGGAAAGACAGAATAATGATCGGAAGCTGCATTTAAGATATCAAGACAAATATTGCCTCTACCTCTTGACCTGGAAGAACATGGGAAATGCTGAAGTACAATTGTCTCTATTGGCCATGCTATATAGTATCCTAAAAGATGTTGATTGTATCTGTTCATTGTTTGAGGAATTAAGTCTGATGATGCCTGAAAGCATTAGTACAGGCTGAGAATATATAAAATATTCAGTAAATATTATAACAGAGCTGGGACTATTTCAAAAAGATGAAATTGTCTCTGTTTGACAGATAAGGAAATGCAAATGCAGGGAGATTGGTACCAGAGTAAGGAATCAAATACCTGTATCTTTCTATCAGGTTTCCTACTTTCCTGCGGGGGTTATGCCAAAGTAGCCAGAAGTGAATGGGCTGGGCTGCGTGGGGCTGGATTACTCGTCATTAATTTTGGAGTAAAACGTGTGGGAAAGGGGCAAAAAAGGCTTGATAGTAAAAAAACAGTCTCATGAATTTAAGTTGCATAATCCTAGAAACAAATGTTTGAGTTCTCTGTGCTTTAATAAACTATTATCTTAATAGTAATTAATAAATACTAAAATCTAATGATGGTGCTTTTTAATTTACAAAAGCCTTAACTACTACAAAAATATCTAGCTTTCAATTATCCACACTCATTTTCCACTTGGAATGTTTTTAATTTAGAGGGTAGGTGAAAATACGTGGTGTTTTTTATAGACTTTACTTACCCATTTTATTTTAATTGTATTCACATGTTCATAAAGTAAAGCACCAACATATATGTTTGAGACAAATACCCCATGCTTCTAACATGTTCATTACATGTTTCAATTTTACGTAAATTCAACCTGGTGTACTTTTTGAAACAGAGTCATGACAATTAGAGGCGAACTCCCTGGTACAGCTGGTCTATGTAGAACGGCACTAACACACCAGTGTTTCATTATACTGAAGGAAAGCTCCTGACAGCGCTGGGTGAATCAAACTAATAAATGGCTACAGCATCCAAGAAGAAAGCGCTCCCCATCACATATAATCAAGGCTGAATGATTTTCAAGAAATTACTCAATGCAAGAAGGAAAATGGGAAGAGAATACATGGTGAACAAAATATTCCTAAACATTGTCAAAAAATCCTTTTGTGTGACTACTATAGAAGGTGATTAGCCTCCGAAAATTGGAGAGGAGGCTATGAGATCTGACCTCGAATCAAGAAAGAAGTATCGCAAGGATCGCATTCAAAAAAATAGATGAAAATATTAATGACTTAAAAGAAGCATCCCCAAAGTTTGTTGAACTCTTAGGAGAACCTTCCATTTGGTCGAAGGAAAAATGCAGTCGTACACATTGAATTTTATATGAAATACATGACAAAAGTGGAAGTTGACCAAAAACAGGTATTTAACTGAATTGGAGCCAAAATCTGATACCCAGCTTTAGCCAAATATTTTCAGTGAAATCTCCTGAGAGCCAAATGTTCTTTGATGCCAGATAGACCATGTAGTTTTCAAATTAATATAATTGTGTATAAATATGGTGACCATGTACTTTATCATTTAAACTCGGATACTTTTAAGAGCAAAAAGAGATGCTATTGGTAATGACTCTAATACCTCAGGCACAGATATAGGTGATCTTGGACAAACTAGGACATGTACTCACCTATGGATAAGCCATTCTCGTGTCATACATGATGGCGGTTCTCTTGGAAATGGGTCATTGTTGTTATCAGGTGCCATGGAGTCGGTCCGACCCACATTGACTTTATGCACAGTGGAATGAGAACCACTGCCCTGTCCGGCACCACCCACACAATTGTTCCTATGCTTGAATCCATTGTTGCAACTACACCGTCCATCCACGTCTTCGGGCCTCTCTGTTCTTCACTGGCCCTCTGATTATCAAACATGATGTCCTTCTCCAGGGCCTGGTCTCTCATGACTGCATGTCCAAAGTATGTGAGACAAAGTCGTTCTGTGATGATAAACACTTGAGTCAAACTGGGGTAGAGCCTATGGGTTAACCACTATTATTCAGGTATTGTTCAGTAACAGCTATGGAAATTTTTGATATTTAAGATAGTCTAATTCATTTAAAATTTTCTAGAAATTATAACCTCTTAAACAACAATACATTAAGTATAGAGAATCCTAGAATCATAAAGTTGCTACTTGCCTATAGATATGCATATTAAAGCAAACTCCTTTTAATTCTCTATTAGAGGTTTCTTCATTTTTCTCATTGTGGACAGAGGGACGGAAGTTCTGCTAACTCTCAGGGTAATCGTTTACAAAGCAATCTTTAAAATAAAAATCATCTCGATGTATTTGGTTATAGGGTTCAATTAATAAATGAAATTCAAATATAGATCTCTTTGTAAAATGTTAGATAATAATAGTAATGATGATAACAATGGTGATGACCATCATGAAAGGACCTGACCATCTCTCCCACCACACTTACCATGCACACACATTTTCTATCTCGGTTTTTGGAATCACAATCCATTTGTTTATTATTCAGACAAAAACAGGAATCATAACTGATAGCTTTTCTTTTCACATCATCAGTCAGTTGATTTCCAGTTTCTGCTCACAATCCATATCTTATTTGTGCTTGTTTTTCCATATTCACATGACTATACATATTCAAAGCCACATGATGGCTCCTAGCCAGGTTTCTTGTTTCTATGCATGCCTTGCTGCCATCTATTCTTTTTGCTTGCTGACAGTGAGGAGGACATGAAACACTTGCTGATGAAGATCAAGGATGGTAGTGTTCAGTATGGATTACGATTCAAGGTAAAGAAAACTCAAATCCTTATAACTGGACCAACAGATGGGTGAAAGACAGACTTTTCTACTCCCAGAAGAATTACAGTCCTGGAAACACACAGGGGTAGTTCTATCTGTGCTATCAGGTCACTGTGAGTTGGCACTGACTTGATGATGGTGGGTTTTTTGGTTTGGGACCAATAGGTAACATCACGATAAACAGAAAAGATTGATGTTGTCAAGGATTGTGACTTTTTCGAACCATAATCAATGCTCATGGAATCAGCAGTCAAGAGATCAAATGACATATTTCATTGGATGAATCTACTCTACAAGACTTCTTTAAAGTGTTGTAAAGCCAGGATGTTACTTTGAGGACTAAGGTCTGCCTGACCCAAGTCAAGGTATTTCCCATTGCCTCATATGCATGGGAAAGATGGACATGGAATAATAAGGAAAACTAAAGGAACATGAATACATTTGAATTAGGGTGCTGGCAAAGAATCTGGAAAGGACCATGGACTACCAAGAGGACAAACACACTGTCTTGGAACAAGTACAGCCACAATGCTCCTTAAAAGCAAGGATGGCGAGACTTGATCTCACATACTTTGGACATGTTGCCAGGAGAGTAGTCCCCGAGGAAGGATATCATGCTTGGGAAAGTAGTGGGGCAGAGTATAAAAAGAAGACTTTCAACAAGGAGGACCGACACAGTGGCTCCATCAGTGGGTTGAAACAACAATTGTGATGATGGCACGAGACCTGGCAGTGTTTGGTGGTCTTGTACACAGGGTCGCTGTGAGTGGGAATAGACTCGAGGGACAATGACAACAACCGTTCAACCTACTGCCTCTGTGACATGGTGGGGCCTTGATCCTGGCCCTACTTCAATGATTTTCCACCAGGATGGTACAATCTGTGCTATTAAGTAAATAAAGAGTCAACAAGGTTTCCAATTTTAGAGAGGTTTTGAGAATCAATGATCTGGGTATATGAGTGGAAAGGACATAGAAGGAACTTTGCCTGTATCCCAGTTTCTGCCTAGCGTCCTGAATATAACAGTAGTGTTGGCCTTAACAGCATTCAATATAAATCTCAGGATTTAAAGCATTTTTTAAAACACTTCATTGGCTGAGGAAGAAGAATAACATTAGGAGTTCCAGTGCTTCATTATCTGATTTCTTTGTCAGACCCATTAGCCAGATTTCCCACCCCCCACTGTGCTACCCCCAAGACTTATTTGAGGCATATTTCCCCATTAGGAGAGAACTTAGTTCTATGGTCAAAGACATTTGGGAAATGTCAGGCTAAAACAAGTAAAATAGATTTCTGTACAGTTTCCTACCAGTTATTCTTTCCTAAAGTTCCTGGAGCTTTTCTAGGAGGAAGGTCTGGGCACAGTTTCCAAATTCACTGAACTTTTTTTTCTTTTGTTAACTATCTATAGCAGCAGTTCTCAACCTGTGGGTCGTGACTCCTTTGGGGGTCGAACAACCCTCTCACAGGGGTCGCCTGATTCATAACAGTAGCAAAATGACAGTTGTGAAGTAGCAATGAAAATGATGTTATGGTTGGGGGTCACCACAACATGAGGAACTGTATTAATGGGTCGTGGCCTTAGGAAGGTTGAGAACCATTGCTCTACAGGAACCAGTCTCCTGTGTCACCTATTTTGAATGTTTACTTGCCGATCTAAGTGCACATAAATTTTGCTTTTCTGGAAGAGAGTGTATACATTCATTTTCTTGAGTTTGATAAACTGGCTTTGAACTCCTGATAGAAGGGGAGACATTAAGGGGCTGCATCATGACACCCCGTCACTTATTGGTCAACCTATTCCTATATTCATCTGTTCGCTCCCCAATTCCACATATACTTATGGAGCCTAGGGAAATAACTATAAACATAAAGATGACTGAGACCCAGATTTCTTTTCATGAAGTCATCCGGAGAATACACTTGAATCATCATTTCCCAGAGTAATTCTAGTAAATGGAAACCACTGTTAATTGTTCATTACGTACCTGCCCTCGAGAGCTTTACTCTGCAAGTTGTTATGCCTATGGAGGCTTTAGAATTCCTTTATTTGCATTTTAGAAAAATTTCTTTAAAACCAGTTTGATTGTGAACCTTTTGAGGACAAGGCCATTGTCTGCAGAACACACCATCTACATTTCTACTCCCCTGTGTGCATACATAATTGAGAGATGGCCTGATACATCTCCTGGAGAGAGCCAGAAATAAGACAGAAAAGAGAATACCAAGTATTAAGCACTTGGCTGGATACCTTCAATAAGTCTTCTCATTGAACACTTCTCTTCCACTTTGAGCTAGATATCCTCACTCACATTTTACAAAAGAGGAAACAGAAACCCAGAGGGATTAAGTGATTCAGAGAAGACATACAGTCACCGACATAGATCATTCAAACTCTGGTTTCCCCTCATGACTACATGCTGGAATGAGTGAAATAAGTGTAATTTAACAAATATGAATCAAAGATGCCAATTTGAGAGTTTTCATTAATTGCTTAGAGGAAAGAAATCCGGCCTGGCAGCAGCTCTTATGGTAAAGCACTGGATGCATCCATGGACTCTGTGCAGTGGACTATGTGTTTATGGTGGCAGAGTGGGCTATTCGTTGGGCTTCCAATTCTCAGGTCAGTGGTTTGAACCCACCAGCACTGCTCCTCACAGGAGAAAGATGAGCTTGTATGCTCCTGTATCGATTTAAAGTCTCAGAAATCCAAAGGGGGCAGCTCTATTCTGTCCTGCAAGGTCACTAGGAGTAAGAGTCCACTGGTTGGCAGTGAGCTTCTGGAGACGTGCTTGCTTCCTTCTGTAACATCTCCATAAGTGCTGTGCTCACCAAAAAGTTTAGACCCATCTTACATTGGGCCAATAATAACAACAGTTACTGGGTTGTTATTATTGAATATGGACTAAGTACTAGATGCTGTTCTAGGTTTAAAAATATACTTTAGCGATCAGTATTCAGCAGGGTTCATGAAAAAGTGTATCCAAAAAACCCAACTTCAAAATTGTGCTGTCTGATGACCACTTGGGTAATCTGGAAAGGTTTACTCTGGAGAAGAGTGAAAATGACAGGAGAGCTGTCTCAACTAGTTGAGGGATTTAGATACAAGGATGCAATTGATAAGGAGTGAGACTTCCATGCTGGAGGTATTCAAACACATGTGTCCAGATAGTAGCAACTTCTGAATTTGATGGTAAGGAAAGTAGGGAAATACTTTAAGTTTCATGAAACTTGGGGAATTATATGTACTTACTCATGAAATGATAGAAGTTTCCCAATTGAGAACCCTATCCACGCTTTCCTCAACATTATTAAGAAAGATACTAGGAAATGATTATTCAATTCAGACCCTTCTCAACAGCGATTGTCTTGCCACTTTCTATTACCAAAATTGAGGCTCTAGGTTTCAAAGCGACATTTCCTATCTGGAGTAGATGGTCGACTTATTTTTGTCTGTAGCAGCAAGAGAAGTTCATCTTGGATCCTGATCATTGGGCCAGGTGTTTGGGAGAAACTCATGGAATAAGGGTTGTTTGCTTGTGGAGATCAGCGTTTCTTGGGAGGTAGCAGCAGAGGCTGAGAAGCGAGTGTGATGATCTGAGCAGCAGTGGAGGACCCAGAGAAAGCAAACCATTTGCAGGCACTGGGAAAGTTCAGTGGTGTTAGGTGTTGCAACTACCTGGAGCCCCCAGAAATGAATGAACTGAGTGTCTTGTGAGCTATCTTGGGGGCAAATGGGGATACATGGCGGCACAGTTATAAAGAACGTGGGTCAAGAAAAACCGGGATCAGGGGTGTGCGTGCATGTATCAAGATAATCAAAAAAATTATTCGGGTGTGACCATGAGCACTTGTCTACGAGATGAGGAAGACCTAGTGGCAGGGAAAGAAATCAATTAGAAAACAAAACAAAAACCCCAAAGATGCGTGTCGAGGGTTTCCACCCTGCTGTTCAGAACCCCGTGGGTGCTCCAATCATCTTAATGCTTCCGCTGAAGATGGAAGCGGGGATGCTGAGGCTGATGAAGGCAACCCTGGAAAAACAGGGCTGGGGAGGGTGACATAGCCCAGGGACCCGGAGCGGGCGATGAGTCACGGGCCAGGCAGGGCTACCTGGGGATAGATAGGGCGCTGCCGTGTGTGCACGCTGGCAGCGC